AGGTCAAGATGGGCAGATCATGAGGTCAGGAGATCGAGACCATCCTGGCTAACACAGTGAAACCCCGTCTCTACTGAAAAATACAAAAAACTAGCCGGGCGAGGTGGCGGGCGCCTGTAGTCCCAGCTACTTGGGAGGCTGAGGCAGGAGAATGGTGTAAACCCAGGAGGCGGAGCTTGCAGTGAGCTGAGATCTGGCCACTGCACTCCAGCCTGGGCGACAGAGCAAGACTCCGTCTCAAAAAAACAAAAAACAAAAAACAAAATAACGGTCGACCATGAAAGAATTCAAGCATAGCAGCCTTGTGTATTGGGATGGAGTCTGGAGAGTATTTCTGCAACATTTTCAGCTGTGTTGTTTTATTCAGAAAATATTTATGAAATATTGTGTGTGATCTGATTAGAAAGCAACATTTGTTAAAAGTCAAAAAGCTGGACACAGCAGCTCATGTCTGTAACTCAAACCCCTTGGGAGGAGGAGGCAGGAGGATTGCTTGAGGCCAGGAGTTTGAGACCAGCCTGGGCAACATGGCAAGATCCTGTCTCTATTTAAAAAAAAAAAAAAAAAAAATTAGCTGGTCACAGTGTCTCATGCCTGTAGTCCCAGCTGCTTGGGAGACTGAGGAGGGAGGATCACGTGAGTCCCAGGAGTTTGTGGCTGCAGTGAGCTATGACTGCACCACTATACTCCAGCCTGGGCAACAGAGTGAGCCCTATCCCCCCCAAAAAAAAGTCAAAAGAGAAAAAATAGTGAAGTTACATAATTTAAGCAGTTATTTAAAAAATATACACCACACAAGGAAACTTCTGCAGGCCTGAGAGAAGTGGAGCAGTTACACATTGCCCCTTGGTGTCTGGGGGCCAGTGGACAGAAGTGGAAAGGGGATACGAACTCTGCTATTCTTAGGGGACAGACAACGGGTGCATCAGAAGGTTTAAAAAACTGGGGGACCAGCAGGTTCATTCTTTGAAGACAAAGCAACTTAGTGCTGAGGAAAGAGCTCCTTGCCAAACTAGATATATTATTTAAGTGCTCAGGGTCGCCTCAATATTCAAGATTAATGGATCACTTACACTTTGCAAATGACAGCAAGACGTCTTGTTGCCAGTGGGATCTACCCAACCATCATTTGAATTCTGCATATACCAATAATCCACTCCACTATATTACAGCCCCCCTATTACTCCAGGTCCTCTAAGAAAATCCGTAAAATGTCAAAAGGGAAGCTTATAAGAGAAAGATAAACACAAAGACTCATCCCCCAAAGCTCCACCTGTAGGACATTTTCTCTGATAACTTCTCCCTCTCCCCATCTCCTGGGGATGCCTCCTTTCTGTTCCCATAGCACCATCTGTACAACTGCTGTACTATACAAGCATACTGTATTGTCATTATTTGTTGACTGTTTCTCCCATTAAAATAAGTCTTTAAGGGTGGATTACCCTTTCCACTTTCCCAACTACGCCAACAATGCTGGCACACACTCATTTAAGTAAGGGCCTCTGATGTGCTACTTCTGTGTTAAAAAAGACATCTGATTAAGTCCCTACCCTCAAAAAGTATACACTCTGGTACAGAAATGCGAACACATGAACTGGTGATTACAGTACAATTAAGTGCTTTGTGAGACTGCCATAGCAGTAAATGTGAAGGCCATGCCACCCATAGCTGAGGAATGCAGGAGGTAGGCAAAAAGTGGGGCAAAGGGCCTTCTTGGCCAGAGAAGCAGAAAGCAAACAGGTGGCAAGGAGAGTAAGGCTGTGAAGGAAGCCTGCATTTGGTCCAGCATACACAGAGGGTGACAGAGATGAAACAGAGGTCTCATGAGCTCCCAGGGCAGGAGAGGGTCAATGGTGTGAGAGATGCTTACATAGACAAAAGCTCAATGACAGATGTAGAGCATGGAGTGAGAGGCACAGTAAGTCTCTGATTAGGCTCCTTCCTAATCAGGGAACTGAGGGTGGGGTGGTATAGAGCTGGGGTAGGAGAGCTACTGAAGCAGCTTCTTCCTACTCATGGGGCCAGATGGTCTTAGGACAAAATGGATAGGGCTATAGTGACAGGTACTGGGCTGCTCATCATGAGTTCAACAGAGGACTTGCTTGGGCCACTAAGAAACACTTTAAATAATGCAAGAAGATACTTAGGCAAATGTAAACAGTGATCCTAAAATGATCAGTATTCTGGAATAATTTCTTTTTAAAGTTCTACCATTTGGAGTCAGAATCTCATATGTAGATAAAAAAGTCAAAATAGTCAGAGGGAAAAAGCCCTAACTAAAATGCTCAAATTTAGCCCATGCTTAGGGAGTCACTAATTCTTTCTCCAGTCAACTCAAAAAAAATGTATTTTTGGCCAGGTGCGGTGGTTCACGCCTGTAATCCTAGCACTTTGGGTGGCTGAGGCACGCAGATTGCCTGAGCTCAGGAGTTCGAGACCAGCCTGGGCAACACAGTGAAACCCTGTCTCTACTAAAAAAACAAAAAATTAGTTGGGCGTGGTGGTGCATGGCTATAATCCCAGCTACTCGGGAGACTAAGGCAGGAGAATCACTTGAACCTGGAAGGTGGAGGTTGTGGTGAGCTGAGATCATGCCACTGCACTCCAGCCTGAGTGACACAGTAAGATTCCGTTTAAAAAAAAAAAAAAAATTTTTTTTTTTTCCCACAAAGAGCTTACTTAATCTCTTTTTCTCTAGAACTTCTCCCAAGATAACCAATTTCTTACTTTCTATGACTTCCACTCTCACTTTTGGCCCTTTTCATAATTGTCTTGGCCCTGTTTGGGCCATGACCTTATGTCAAAAATTTCTGTTCCAGGGAATGCTAGGTACAAGACTCCAGATGGGCCTAATTTCAGTTACCATTCAGTATAGGAGAGGGAAGAGAAGTGTGAGAAAGCCCAAGGATGGATCTGAGGGAAGATAAGAGAAAATGTGGTTCCTAATTCAAGATGAGATTAAGTTCTACTTTCTAGTATTTATTTTGAAGAAGTCAAGGAATCAAGGAAATCTCTGAACACTTACATACTGCTGATGAGACCGTACATTAGTTCAGTGTGGAAAGCAGTTTGGAGGTTTCTCAAAGAAATAAAAATATTATTCAACTATACTACTATTTAACCCAGTAATCCCATTACTGAGTATATACCCAAAAGAAAATAAATTGTTTGGCCGGGCATGGTGGCTCATGCCTGTAATCCCAGCCCTTTGGGAGGCTGAGGTGGGCAGATCATGGGGTCAAGAGATAGAGACCATCCTGGCCAACATGTGAAACTCCATCTCTACTAAAAATGCAAAAATTAGCTGGGCGTGGTGGCACGTGCCTGTAGTCCCAGCTACTATGGAGGCTGAGGTAGGGGAATTGCTTGAACCCGGGAGGCAGAGACTGCAGTGAGCTGAGATTGTGCCACTGCACTCCAGCCTGGCAACAGAAAGAAAAAAGACTCTGTCTCAGAAAGAAAAAAGGAAAATACATCAATTTACCAAAAATGCACCTGCATGTGCATGCTTACTGCAGCTCCATTCGCAATAGCAAAGATGTGAAATCAAACTAGGTGCCCATCAACTGTGGACTGGACAAAGAAAATGTGGTACATATACATTATGAAATACTACACAGCCATTAAAAAAAAAGAATGAAATTATGTCCCTTGCACCACCATAGATTCAGCTGGAGGCCATTATTCTAAGTGAATTAACCCAGAAACAAAAAATGGCACATATTCTCAGTTGTTTTTTTTTTTTTTTTAATTTTTTGAGACGGAGTCTCACTCCGTGGCCCGGGCTGGAGTGCAGTGGCCGGATCTCAGCTCACTGCAAGCTCCGCCTCCTGGGTTTATGCCATTCTCCTGCCTCAGTCTCCCGAGTAGCTGGGACTACAGGCACCCGCCACCTCGCCCGGCTAGTTTTTTGTATTTTTCAGTAGAGACGGGGTTTCACCGTGTTAGCCAGGATGGTCTCGATCTCCTGACCTCGTGATCCGCCCGTCTCGGCCTCCCAAAGTGCTGGGATTACAGGCTTGAGCCACCGTGCCCGGCCATATTCTCAGTTTTATGTAGGTGCTAAACACTGGGCATATACAGACATAAAGATGGAAACAATAGACAATGGTGACTCCAAAAGGGGAAGAGGAGAAAAGGGTGAAAGACCGAAAAGCTACATATTGGGTACTATGTTAACTATTTGGGTGACAGCTTCAATAGAAGCCTAAACCTAAGCATCATACAATATATCCATGTAACAAACCCACACAAGTACCTCTGAATCTGAAATAAAAATTAAAACTTAAAAAAAAAAAAAAAAAGAAAAAAAGAAAAAATTCCTGAATCAGAAAATGGAGTTATGGGCCGGGCGCGGTGGCTCAAGCCTGTAATCCCAGCACTTTGGGAGGCCGAGACGGGTGGATCACAAGGTCAGGAGATCGAGACCATCCTGGCTAACACGGTGAAACCCCGTCTCTACTAAGAAATACAAAAAACTAGCCGGGCGAGGTGGCGGCGCCTGTAGTCCCAGCTACTCGGGAGGCTGAGGCCGGAGAATGGCGTGAACCTGGGAGGCGGAGCTTGCAGTGAGCTGAGATCGGGCCACTGCACTCCAGCCTGGGCTACAGAGCGAGACTCCGTCTCAAAAAAAAAAAAAAAAAAAAAAAAAGAAAATGGAGTTATACAGTTTCTACTTTATTGGTAACAAGTAGGTAATGAAATAAAACTCTAAGTTTTGTAGAAGGAAGAATTTAATATCATCATGTATCTTCACAGCCAACATGTACAAGAAGCTGAGATTTAGAGAATTAGCTTTAGAAAGTTAACAGAGTACCTTTTACTTAACATCACTGGCTAATAATCCTTTTGAAATGGCAAATCAAACATAGGAAAAAGGACAGAAGTTAGCCATGGAGACCAAGAGAACAGGCTACCATTTATTTTACCTAACTTGTGTTTTGTGAAAAGTGACCAAGGTTTAATCATGAAAAAGCCACTATAAAATTCCAAATACTTACAGCTTCTTTCTCTCTGTCCATGATAGTTTCCAGCTCTTCAAAATGTCGAAGTTTGATCTCTAGTTTCTTCATTTGTGTCTCAACCAACAGAGCTACCAGGGACTTGATCTTTCTTTCTTCCACTGCAGCCAGGTGCTAAGGGTAAAGATCATTCAAGCTATTTAGGTAAACATTTGCTTAAAGAACATTAAGAAAATGCTGACAATATGCAAAGTGGAGATTATATAATTTACAATGGTACCCTATATGTCTCCTTTGTACGTTTCTACTAAACATTTATTTCAATCTAAAATAACGTCTCTGAATTTCTGGTCCTTAAACAGATAAACCAACCCTTAAAAGATTAAAGGAAATGCCTCATGTGGTAAACTACTACCTTCAAAAGGCCTATCAAGAAGGAGAGGGCAAACTAGGACCCTGATGGGCCAAAGATGAGGACAGGAGGTACTTTGCCACCTACCATCCCATCCTGGCACTCGGTCTGTCCCCTCACTATCCTTTCCTCCCTAAGACTTTTCCACGGGTGGGCAGGCAGGCAGGCAGGCAGTGATCTCCTCAGCACCTGACACTCTTACAAAAGCCTCTCCCTTCTCTTTGGTGAGCAGACCTCACGTGTGGAAACAAAAGGGAAAACAATATTTCACCTGTAATTCCAGGTCCAGATCCATAGCTGGAAAAATAAATACAGTACTAAACAGAAAGGTACTCTGGAAGACTACCACTCCTTTCCGCAAGACCGATGGTGACTCCTACTCATGCTTCTTGCCAACTCAACAGCACAAAGAGGAAGATGCCACATTACTTGTATCTGCTTAAGACCCTAACTACTAGCCAGTAATCAATCCCACCCTCTACAGACTTCCAAGAACTTCCCCAACAAACTCCCAGCACCATTTTTCATTCACTTTTATTACGCCTGCTGAATTTACGTGTTTATCTTGCTTCTGCACAAGGCTTTTTTTAAAAAAAAAAAAGCAGCAGCAGCAGCAGGGTCATTAAAAAAAAAAAAAAAAAACCTATGTTGCTCAGGCTGGCCTCCAACTCCTGGGCTGAAGTGATCCTTCTGCCTAAGCCTCCTGAGTAGCTGTGACATGCCACAGCTGTGCATGTCACAGTACGCATCTTCCCAAGGTCTTAAGAAACAGCATGAAGCGGCTACTTTACTGATCTCTTAATGATCTTAGGTTTCCTATAGAACCTAGGAGCAACCATGCAAGAGGAACTTAATATAGGCTTTTGGGAACTATGCTGAGACCTAACACTTAGACGAAAGCCTAGTTTTTTGTTCATCTACAGTTGAAAATAAAAACTGTAGTTTTACAGATATGGAGACCCATTTGCAGAAAGATTCAGAAATGTAGACAAGAGGTGAAAATGAGGTTTTATAGCTATTAATGATCATGTGTGCCACCCTAAACTACAATGAGCTACATCAATGACACCAAAACTTTAAACAATTATGTAACTCAAGCCATTATCACTGTACAATGTTATACAATTTATATTTTTGAACAAAAAAATTTATGTACATGATATAAACTGAAAAGTTACAAACAGGTATAAAATAAAAAGTAGGTCTCCTCACTTCTGTCAGCTATACATCAATAACTCTTCCTTTGAAGATAATAATGTTATCAATTTCTGGTCTTTTTATGAGAATGTGACTCCTAGAACTCAGCTGGTTTGAAAGAAAATGTTTGTTTGTTTGTTTGTTTGTTTTTGAGATTTATGCAGGAACAGGGGGGGAGGGTGGTAGGTGGAAAGGGGGTCCTCAAGTGTTATTCATAAAATAATACGAAAATAGGGTCTTCAAGTATTATTCAATAAAATAATATGAAAATATTTCCTTTTAAAACTGCAGGTCACTGGTCAGCCGTGGTGGTTCACGCCTGCAACATCAGCACTTTGGGAAGCCTAGGTGGGCAGATCACATGAGATCAGGAGTTGGAGACCAGCCTGGCCAACATAGCAAAAACCCTGTCTCTACTAAAAATAAAAAAAATTAGGCCGGGCGCGGTGGCTCAAGCCTGTAATCCCAGCACTTTGGGAGGCCGAGACGGGCGGATCACGAGGTCAGGAGATCGAGACCATCCTGGCCGACACGGTGAAACCCCGTCTCTACTAAAAAATACAGAAAACTAGCCGGGCGAGGTGGCGGGCGCCTGTAGTCCCAGCTACTCGGGAGGCTGAGGCAGGAGAATGGCGTGAACCCGGGAGGCGGAGCTTGCAGTGAGCTGAGATCCGGCCACTGCACTCCAGCCTGGGCGGCAGAGCGAGACTCCGTCTCAAAAAAAAAAAAAAAAAAAAAAATTAGCTGGGCGTGGTGGTGCACATCTGTAATCCCAGTTACTTGGGAAGCTGAGGCATAAGAATCGCTTAAAGCCAGAAGACAGAGGTTGCAGTGAGCTGAGATCCCTCCACTGCACTCCAGCCTGGTGGCAGAGCAAGACTCCATCTCAAAAAAAAAAAAAAAAAAAAAAAAAAAAGCGGGTGGGCAGCAAGTATCAAAAAAATTAAAAAGATCCATAGCAAGAAACATTACTGAAGTTTTAAGAACACAAGACATAGACAATCCTACAAGCTTTTGGAAAGGCACCGTCCCAAAAAAACAGGTTACCCCAAAAATTGGACTGTATCAGACTTCTTAAGAGTAATATCAGATGTTGAAAATAATGGTAAAATGCCTTTCAACTCAGAGCTAATGAATTTCAAACTAGAATTTCCTGTACAGCAACCTGTAACAGTGTGAATATAGAACAGACATTCCTGAAATCAAGGACTAAAAAGTTCACTTCCTACACATGCTACTGAGGTATGTGTTCTAGCTCAAGTAATGTAATATCAGAAAAAGGTAAAAAGACCTTAGATTCAAAAGTCACAGACCCAACCTAAGAAAGAAACTCTGAGTTTATAGGGCAAGCAATGATTCAAAAATAAACTGAGGCTGGGCACAGAAGCTCATGCCTATGCCTATAATCCAAGCACTTTGAGAAGGTGGATGGATCACAGAAGGCCAGGAGTTCAAAACCAGCCTGGCCAACATAGTAAAACCCTGTCTGTACTAAAAATACAAAACAAAACAAAACAAAACAAACCATTAGCTGGATGTAGTGGCACACACTTGTAATCACAGGAGGCGGAGGCTGTGGTGAGCCAAGACCGCGCCACAGCACTCCAGCCTAGGCGACAGAGCAAGACACTTTCTCAGAAAATAAAATAAATTGAGACAAATGAAACAAGACTGGTAAGAACTTGATAACCAAAGCTAGATAATGTGTACACAGAGACTCATTTTACTACTTTGTCTACTTCTGTATATATTCTTTTTTTTTAATTTCTTTTTCTTTCTTTTTTTTAAAGACAGAATCTGGGCAGGTGCTATGGCTCATGCCTCTAATCCCAGCACTTCAGGAAGCCGAGGTGGGTGGATCACTCGAGGCTAGGAGTTTGATACCAACTTGGCCAACATGGCAAAATCCCTTCTTTATTTTTATTTTATTTTTACAATTTAAAAAAAGAAAGGAAAAAAGGAAAAAAGACCAGCCTCCCAAGTAGCTAGGACTACAGGCGCACACCACCACACCCAGCTAACTTGTATTTTTGGTAGAAACAGGGTTTTGCCAGGTTGCCCAGGCTAGTCTCAAACTCCTGAGCTCAAATGATCTGCCTGTCTCGGCCTCCCCAAGTGCTGGGATTACCGGCATGAACCACCGTGCCCAGTCTACTTCTATATATATTTTAATACTTTCATAATAAAAGTTTAAAGGTGGGTTGGGGTAGGTCAACAAATGGAGCTGGGAAAACTGAATATCCAATACAAAAGAATGAATTTAGACTCCTATCTCACATCACTCACAAAAATTGACTTAGTGGATCACAGATCTAAATATAAAAGTATACAATAAAAAATTCTTAGAAGAAAAAACAAAGTATATCTAAATGATCTTAGGTTAAGCCAAAGATTTCGAGACATGTAAAGAGCACAAACAATAAAAGAGAAAATTAGGTTGGACCTCATCAAATTAAAAACATTTGTATCACCAAGAAGTTCACTGAAAACACGCCAGTTGCAGTTGCCCACATCTGTAATTCCAGTGTTTTGGAAGGCTGAGGCAGGAGAATCGCTTGAGACCAGGAGTTTGAGACCAGGGCAACATGAGACCCCGTTCTACAAAAAAATAAAAAAAATTAGCCAGGAATGGTGGCACATTCCTATAGTCCCAGCTACTCAGGAGGCTGAGGAGGAAGGATCATGTGAGTCTGCGAGTTTGAGGCTGTAGTGAGCTGTGATCTTGCCACAGCATTTCCAGCCTAAGTGACAGAGCGAGCCCCGTCTTTTTTTTTTTTTTTTTTTTTCAGACAGAGTCTAGCTTTGTCGCCCAGGCTGGAGTGCAGTAGCGTAATCTCGACTCACTATAACCTCCACCTTCCAGGTTCCAGTGACACTCCTGCCGCAGTCTCCCGAATAGCTGGGATTACAGGCGCCCACCACCAAGCCCAGCTAATTTTTGTATTTTTAGTAGAGACATGATCTGCCTGCCTCAGCCTCCCAAAGTGATGCTCCCAAAGGGATGGGATTACAGGCGTGAGCCACTGTGCCTGGCGAAACCCCATCTTGAAAAAAAAAAGAAAAGAAAGAAAGAAAAAGAAAAAAGAGACTAGTAAATGGCAGAGCTGGAACCAAAAATTTAAATTCCAAACCCAAAGGCCCATGAATTATTTTCCAGTGCATCTTTGGAATAACTGATACTTCAGTGGATACTTTCCTGGGTAATTCTTAGAAGGGACTTGTGGTAGATTAAAGATAGCCACAAGTTCACTGGCCTTTATTTCATTAAGAGGCAGATCAAGACAGGCTCTCTGCCTTGCCCAATAAAAATTAGTGGTAGCCTTTTCTAAGCCCAGGCCTTACAATCCTGGAAACTTTCATGTCCTGTTCTTGGAATGTTCTCTCTGGGAGTCTCAAGTTGCCATGTACAAAGTATGATCACCCTGCTGGAAACACCACAAAGAGAAATTCTGAGACTACATGGAGCGGAAAAAAACCTCAGTTACCCCTGCCAAGGACTAGGATTCTAATGAAGCCGTCTCAGACCTACATAAACCTACCTATGAAGTTAAGACTGCTAAATGAC